ATATTTACTACTCAGCCACTTCAACTGACCTTTGCAGAAGTCTGCACCAAACTTATAGTCCACAATCGCTAATGAAAATAGATACTGTCCGGTTAGGAAGTCTCCAATACTTATAACCATTATCATTATCTTGTTTGCCAGCATTGTGCGAGATTTGCATTGCTTCAAATCCGCCCCATTTTCAATTACAACAACAAGATTAAAAACGGTCGCTAGGAAACCAATTCCAAAAGCGGTAATTTTTTGAGGTAATCCGTTTATCACCTGCTTACCACACTGTTCGTTACACTCGTCCGACCAATCTTCGCAGTTCGCAGTGCCGTCACATTTTTGAGTTACTGGAATGAACACACCACCACATTCGAAATGGTTTCCGCAGTTCAGCTCATCCGAACTATCCCCGCAATTGTCAACCAAGTCACAGACTTTAGAATACTCCACGCACAGATTGTTGGCGCAAGGGAAATAATCATTGGTGTATTTTCCTGATTTTCTAACGAGGAAAGTGAGGTGATGGTTATTGACCAATGTATAGACTCTGTCGTTATGCTGGTTTTTGCAATCATTGTACTTAATTGAACTTTTGATGGGGCATTTTGTTGAATGCGTACATTTCCCAAGACAGCTCAAATAAACGTACATTTCTCCATATAGATGGTTACAATTATACAGCATATCTGGGTAAATTACTTGCATCCTGCTGTAGACTCCATAAATAGTTTCATTAAACACGTTAAAATCTTCGGATATGCAAGAACTTTGCTGGTGCTCAATGTCATGCAGGCCTTTGACGCAATGAGAAATAATTTTATAGGGCCCCGCCGTGTTAACCGTTGTAGAGACTCTTGCTTTGCCTCTACTCATTGTGCATATGTTATTTTCATTTCCGCATGTCTCGAGGCCATCACATAGTTCAGGCAGCTTTATGAATCCCACACTTTCGTATGATCGGCATAAAAAGACATCTTGACAGTCTGGATTCTTCTTTGTAGCAAAACGTTTTGTTGCATGGAAACCACACGCAGGCCAATGTGTAGCGTTCTCATCAATGCCATCAAGACAGTCTTCCGTACCGTCGGTAAGCCATTCAATGGGAATACGTAACGCTTCTTCGTGTCTGTAGTTCCTATAGCACCTCTCCTCGGTCATTGAGATACACTCTGCTGTATCTTCGTCACTGCCATCCCCGCAGTCCTCCACTCCATCACATAACTGGTGTTTGTGGCAGTAACAATCCACTGACTTCTCGATACACTGCAAGTCCATCTTATTCTTGCAGAGTCCTGTCTCCATTCCACCGCATACTTTCATTTTGGAGACAGTACTGAAACCATACCCTGGGATATGGCACCTCACAGCTACTTTGTCCGGGTCACTGCAGTTAGTTTGGTCCATGTAATTTAAGCAATACGGATTTACGAACAGCCCAGAATCAGTCGTACTCATCTTGTAATCAAAACTTTTGAAACCAGAACGGGATGCTGGCTGTGTGGTCATACTTGAAGGCAGCACATCGGGTGAAATTAAATATGGGTCGCACAATCAGAACTTTTCCTCTAACGTTGGTACAGTAGGGAAAGTTTTTCTTGATCGCCATCTGACAGAGTTCTTCTTCACCATAGAATTGTAATTGAACTGCATTCATGCAATCTTGGGTTTCGTCACAAATTTGCGAGATTTCCAAATATTTGCTAGTATTCATATGTAAGTTCCTCGGACACCAGAATCCGTAGTTGTAGCCGTTACACTTGCTCTCATCCTCACAGTTTTCCATTTCACAGATATTGTTACAGATTTTCAATGTGGAATGTTCTTCTTGTTCCACCACTGCACATCCTATCTTTCCCAGGTCGGGAATGTTAGAGCAATTTACCTGTCCAGAACATATTTCTCCTTCAGGTATAGCTACAATAGTTGATTCTGTCTTACAAATGTGGGATCCGCAGACAGAAGTATCACCAGAAAAAACTATCCGATCAGGAGAGGAACCGCAAACCTGAAAATGGAAATAAATTGTAGCCGAGACATTTTTGGAAAAAGGGGTGCATTTAAAAAAATTCTGATCATGATATACAATTTCGTACACATGAGTATGTTTAAATGTGAATAGTAAAAAATTAAATAAAATTAAATAAAATTAAATAAAATAAAATTAAATTAAATAAAATTAAATTAAATTAAATTAAATTAAATTGAATTAAATTAAATTAAATTAAATTAAATTAAATTAAATTAAATTAATTTTGGTACCTGGTATCCGAATGGGTCATTGCTACACGTTGCATTGAACATATTCGACCGAGCGAAACTTAATTTATCGATAATCCAGTACATTTCATTCGAATAGGGACATTTGTACGCAGCATAAGAGTGAAACTTAGTGCATACACTTTGGAGAAAACCATTTGTTTCCTTGATTTCGCAAGCCTGGCTGTTCCCTGAAAATGGAAAAAGTTGGGTGATACTGCACTGTTTGGTTCAGTTATCAGTAAATTGTTATGGTCAAAATTGCTAAAACTGGAAAATGGCGTTATTTTTGTGTTTAAGATTAGCTGTATCAAATCAACAGGGAAATACTTCGAAGAAATTAAGCTAATATCAGCTGTCAACCCCTCAGTCACCTTTCCCAAAATTTATTGTGCGCATTGGTGTCCAAAAGCAAATTCGTTTCTAGTGTTATCATATGTTAATTTTTTGCGATTATTTGAATACAGAATCCACAGTTAGGTAGATACTGAGCTGATAATCATAGAGAATGTGTAGTATAAGCTTACCTTCCATATAATATGCATATTATTATTATTCAGTTGGTTTCATTCAAAAATATTGATATTTGACCAATTTATAGGCCAAAATCGATCAAATTTGGTGCGAATGCCCAAATATGGGTTCAGGGGACCACTAGCTACAAGACACAAGTAGAGCACATAAAATTTGCGTTTTGGGCATGTTCAGGGTATTTGGCTAAATTGGGCCTAATTTGGACCTAATATTATATGGGTGTGGCTGCCCCACAGGACCTCCTCAAAAGTTCGGTCACCGGTCCTAGTTTGTTGGTCAACTGCTATCTCGAAACCAAGTTTCACAAAAAAATCAGGGTGAACATCCCCCTTCTTAATGGGTTGGTTAACAGGGTGACCTTATCACGTGATTAGATAAGCCAATCGCCTGATCACACGTAATGAATAAACTCGTTCTGCTCCGTATCTCGGTCATCTGAGAAGCTACAACTCATTTTTTCAGGACAAAAGTAATTCGAGTGGCCAAACTCAATCCAATAAATTTTAGCTCGATCCGACTATCCAAAAGTCCAAACTATCAAATGAATACGAACCTTCATTTGAAAAAAATGAACAAGAATATTATTCGATTTGACAAATTCCTCGAACCAGTGGTGGTAGTAATACCAGAAAGAATTATTTCAATTGGGCACTCAGTGACTGAGCTATTAATGCCAACGTTTGCACTGTACTGACTTTTGGCCCACCCTGTATCAGTTTTGAGTTTTTACCTGAAGCAACGGTAACAGCAGGAGTGAGAATGATTAATTGCAACAACCAGATCGTATAGCCTCTGAACATGATTTCTTTGTTTGTTGTCGACATCCATAAATCTGACAAAAAATTGGATTAGGAATTAATTCCAAGAACGTTTGCATTTTCTATTCTAATGCCCCCCCCCCCCCCCCCCCCTCCGTAATCAGTTGACAGTTTTACACATAGCTATTGTGTCAAAAATACACTAGCGTAATCATTCGGAAACCCCCCCCCCCCCCCCCCCCAATGCCGTCCCAACAATTTTTGCACGTGGGCGGTCGTACATACAGACATACAGACAGACATAGTTCTTTGAATTATAAGTAAGATAATATCTAAAAATGCGAAAATTAATCTTCACTCTAAAAAACAATTCAGTTATTATTTAATTCGATATATTCTTCGAACCAGTAAAGATAACAAGTAATGAAAATAATTCAATCAGATACTTATTCAAGACCGTTCAATGAATATAAGAGAGGGGGATTTGGAGAATTTGCAATTGCGATGGGAAAATTATCATTATGGCAAATGCAATGGAATTTCCAAAATTTAAAATTTAGCCAATTTTCACCATTGCAAAGTTGCAATCTACGAAATAAGCCCAACGTTTGAGCACCAAGAAAAAATAATATAATTTATATTCAACGTCTGGTGCTCTCCATCGCAAACAATTGTCACACTGTTTTATTTCAACTACGTTAAATACTTTACTTAAATACTTTACTTAAATACTTTACTTGAATACTTTTCTTAAACACTTTAAATACTTAAATACTTTTTCGATTTATAGTGCAAAAAAAAGCTGCCGGAGTTGAAGCAGCGAGTCATAGAGGGGCCGCATAGAATCACTATTTTTATAAGAATAAAAAAGACAAGTAAAAATATGAGAAATCTTAAACGGAGCATAGTCTATAGACAATGAATAAGGCAGAGCATTGCTCAACCTTTTAAAATTACGTCATTTAGCTTTCATGTCACACAAAGAAAGGACAACTTTTAAAGATGTTGCAAAAATATTATGATTGCATTGGAACGGGCTTGGAACTGGTTGAGGCTCAGGAGTGTGAGGGTTTTTGTCGTATTTTGACGAAGATAGAGGCACATTTTAGGGCAGTCGACTTGCCCGCTAGATTTTTAGCCGGGGTTACAAGTTCAAATCCCAGTTGGAGCTATTCTTTAATTTTATCAATCTATTACATTACATAATACATAATATAATAGTATAATATTCAAAGTTCTTTTAGGTACTTGATACTGTGAGATTTTAAATGTATGTTAATCAATTCCTTTTTACTCCGAAAACCCTAGGGAAAGATTGATGAACTCATAAACTGGAATGATCAATTTATTATAATATTATAATTTATTATATTTTACCTTCCGGATGATTTACGTCATAATTTTCGGAAAAAATCACGAGAAAATATCACATCTATTATAACTCCGAATGATTTTTTTCAGTGCTTCGAAGAGTTAGCTGATCTGGAGGAAGATTGTCCTATTTGCTCCCACGATAACAGACAAACTCTCGAACACCTTAAATCTCTTGATCAGGTTTTTACATATTGTTTTACCTGCCCTGGGTGTGAGAGGATAATACCTGTTTTTAAATTTAAGTTTAAACTTAAAAGATATTAAAACCTGTAACATTACACGTAGCTCGGAGTTCACAAATATCGCTCTTGAACATTCTAGAAATTATTTCCATTTTATCACTATCAAGTATGAGCCTTATATTATTGTTTGGTTAAGGTTGTTAGATCGGGTGCTGGTTGAAAAAATGCTCTTATTTGATACGTGACCGTGGCTAATCTGACACGTGACACTGGCTAATCTGACACGTGACACTGGCTAATCTGACACGTGACACTGGCTAATCTGACACGTGACAGTGGCTAATCTGACACGTGACAGTGGCTAATCTAGCACGTGACCGTGGCTAATCTGACACGTGACCGTGGCTAATCTGACACGTGACCGTGGCTAATCAGCTTCCAGGATCTAAAGTCTCTAAGAGCCATATTTACCATATTTGCTTGAAGAACGATCTTAAAAGGAGATTTTTTAATACAAAATGAATTAAGGAGAATTTTATCTTTACAGATAGAAAACCTGGATCAACAGTTCTTTAGAAGTGTTGAAAACGCCCCTGACCCCTTTACTGCTGTAGCTGACTTCTTTGCTAAAGGTATGCGGGTTATTTATTATAATATTATGGCCTATGGGTATATTCTTTGTGATCTGTGCACGTGTCAAGTATATTGCACGTGTGCACGTGTGCACGTGTGTACTGTGTATACACTATACAGTGTCATGTGCAAGTGTGTACTGTGTATATACAGTGTCATGTGCACGTGTGTACTGTATATACAGTGTCATGTGCACGTGTGTACTGTATATACAGTGTCATGTGCACGTGTGTACTGTATATACAGTGTCATGTGCACGTGTGTACTGTGTATACAGTGTCATGTGCACGTGTGTACTGTATATACAGTGTCATGTGCACGTGTGTACTGTGTATACAGTGTCATGTGCACGTGTGTACTGTATATACAGTGTCATGTGCACGTGTGTACTGTATATACAGTGTCATGTGCACGTGTGTACTGTGTATACAGTGTCATGTGCACGTGTGTACTGTATATACAGTGTCATGTGCACGTGTGTACTGTGTATACAGTGTCATGTGCACGTGTGTACTGTGTATACAGTGTCATGTGCACGTGTGTACTGTGTATAATACAGTGTCATGGCCCAAGGGTGTAAGATTGAAACGTTATTTATGCTTTAAATCTTTAAATCTGATATTTCAATTTAGATAAAATGTTTGTTCGTTGATAATCTCACTACAATGATACAATTACTTCTAATTAATCGCTAATTAATCGCCACATTTCCCATCCCAGGAGTGTACAACAAGCCTGTGGTAATTGACGGGGAAAAGAAATCAAAGCTGCAAGTAACCCGTTCCAGACCTCAAGTAACACCAGGATTACCAGGGTTACCAGGGTTACCAGGGTTACCAGGGTTACAACAGTCCTACCAGGGGGGAGGCAGGGCTAGATCTAGTGCTGTTACCAGGGAGGCCATTGTGTTTGATAACTCTCCTCCTTCGCAGGTGAGCTGCTCTGGTAGTTGGTAATTAATTAGTAAGTTGATGATTAATAAGTTGGTTATGATTAGTTACAAGTTGCTAAACTTGCTTAATTGATTCTTATAGTTGTTACTTAAAATTGTTGTTTAATTGCAGCTGATACCCCAGGATAATCCCTTCGCTGAACCTGAGTCTAACAACCCCTTCGCTGCAACCCCGGTTACCAGCACCAACAACCCCTCCGACCAGAATCCCTTCGCTGCTGATGACCCGGTTGAGGAGTCCAATAACCCCTTTGCTGACGATGATAACCCGTTCGGGAGTGATTCTGTGGCGAGGAGTCCTATTCAGTTTATATCGTAGCTGTGTTTCAGTGGTCTTATTGGTTTGTAACTTGGAGCTGTTTGGGGTTTGTGTTGTGTGATTTAAAACTGCTGGACAGTTAGCAGGGATGTGGAATGTTTTGAATTATGTGGATCTGGTTCTGGAATGTGTCAGTAAAAACTGAACAATCACAATTTATTAACTGTTGAAATGATTTTGGAACTACAATTTTTCTATGTACGGTGTTGTGACTTGCGGGTTCTTCAAAACTTATTATTATTGTACTCAAGACAATAATGTCTTCTGGATAATTGTTGAAATTGAAGATATCTTTGTTCGAAAAAATTAATTATGTGAATACAAAAATGTAAGTTCAGTAATCAACGTGATCAAATGTCATTGATTGAAATGTATACGTTACACATTTTGTCGCTGTCTTGATTTCGTTTCGGTACGATTTGTTTAAATATTTTGAATTTCTTTTCGATGCAAATTGTATGTAATTAAATTTGATGTTTTTATATTATAATGTAACCTCTTTTCGAATTATTTGCATTCAAATCCCATGGAAATTAAATGAAAATCTGTGGTCACTACCATATATAATACCACTTATAAATAAATAGATAAATAAATTTTAACATTTATTACTTATCTTATCTAGTAAAGTATACAAATTCTCCCACAACAAGTATAATATCTTAAAAGTAAATGGATTATCCGGTGTAATTAACTAAGAAATCTTAATAAAATAAAGTCTTCTATTCCTAGAAGAGTTTACTGAAAACTTTACTTAATAGTTTTGATATAATTTATAGGTAACTAAAAATGGCTGGCCCCAAGTAATTAACTTTATATAATTTATAGGTAACTAAAAATGGCTGACCCCAAGTAGTAAACTTTATATAATTTATAGGTAACTAAAAATGGCTGACCCCAAGTAATTAACTTTATATAATTTATAGGTAACTAAAAATGGCTGACCCCAAGTAATTAACTTTATATGATTTATAGGTAACTAAAAATGGCTGACCCCAAGTAATTAACTTTATATAATTTATAGGTAACTAAAAATGGCTGACCCCAAGTAATTAACTTTATATAATTTATAGGTAACTAAAAATGGCTGACCCCAAGTAATTAACTTTATATGATTTATAGGTAACTAAAAATGGCTGACCCCAAGTAATTAACTTTATATAATTTATAGGTAACTAAAAATGGCTGACCCCAAGTAATTAACTTTATATAATTTATAGGTAACTAAAAATGGCTGACCCCAAGTAATTAACTTTATATGATTTATAGGTAACTAAAAATGGCTGACCCCAAGTAATTAACTTTATATAATTTATAGGTAACTAAAAATGGCTGACCCCAAGTAATTAACTTTATATGATTTATAGGTAACTAAAAATGGCTGACCCCAAGTAATTAACTTTATATGATTTATAGGTAACTAAAAATGGCTGACCCCAAGTAATTAACTTTATATAATTTATAGGTAACTAAAAATGGCTGACCACAAGTAATTAACTTTATATAATTTATAGGTAACTAAAAATGGCTGACCCCAAGTAATTAACTTTATATAATTTATAGGTAACTAAAAATGGCTGACCCCAAGTAATTAACTTTATATAATTTATAGGTTACTAAAAATGGCTGACCACAAGTAATTAACTTTATATGATTTATAGGTAACTAAAAATGGCTGACCCCAAGTAATTAACTTTATATGATTTATAGGTAACTAAAAATGGCTGACCCCAAGTAATTAACTTTATATAATTTATAGTTAACTTAAAATGGCTGACCCCAAGTAATTAACTTTATAATTTATAGGTAACTAAAAATGGCTGACCCAAAGTAATTAACTTTATATGATTTATAGGTAACTAAAAATGGCTGACCCCAAGTAATTAACTTTATATAATTTATAGGCAACTAAAAATGGCTGACCCCAAGTAATTAACTTTATATAATTTATAGGTAACTAAAAATGGCTGACCCCAAGTAATTAACTTTATATAATTTATAGGTAACTAAAAATGGCTGACCCCAAGTAATTAACTTTATATGATTTATAGGTAACTAAAAATGGCTGACCCCAAGTACATTGACGCAATGAAGACAGACCATCTCCCAGAGATGATGTTAGAAAAAGGGGACAAGTTACAGAAAGCAGAAGCTAAACTTAAAGTTCACCCGTTTCATATGGAGAGCTGGAATGTTCTCATCAAGGACGCTCAGGTGATTATTTAGTGATTAGCTGATTAATTATGTAATTGGATTATAATTATTTGCATGATCTGTTAATAGAATATGATTGGCGGAACAGTTGATGACTGATAACAGTTTAAAAACCACGGTCTGTTTCTCAGATGAGTCTAGGTCTAGTCTATAATCTATTTAGTATTATTATATTCAGCATTTCTTCTATTTCCCATGATTGGAATAGTCAACGAATACATCGGTTTAAATTACTTTTAACATGATTTACAATGTGTATTAACTCACCAGGAGAAACATATAGACGTCTCTAGAAAGATATACGAGAGACTAATGGAGACCTACCCCACGTGCGGAAGATTCTGGAAGTTGTACATCGAGGAGGTAATTTACATTACATTACATTTACATTACATTACCTCCTGTTATTTATTAACTAATTAACTAATTAAATAATTGACTTATTAACTAATTAACTAATTAACTAATCAGTAATGTCTCTGTTATTCATGATGACGGAGGAGGCAATCTTCAACAATAATATGAGATTCGAAATAAATGAGATTGTGTGATTTTCAGGAGTTGAAATGCAAGAATTTCGAGCGGGTAGAGTCGTTATTTCAGCGATGTCTCTTGAAAGTACTGAACCTTGACCTGTGGAAGTTTTATCTGACTTATGTGAAGGAGACAAAACGGGGACTACCAAATTTCAGGTTTGTCACGTGGTACATCATACCAGTTAGCAAGTAGTGTATTTCAGATTATGTTATTAATTAACCTTTTTCCTTTTTGGTAAATTTCGCTGAACAGAAATTTAAATTTTTTTGTCGAATCAGTCTTAAATCTTGGTTCTTCATTTCGTTCAATAACTAAATATGGAAAATTTTATTGAATTGATTACACGTTTTTGTTAGTTACATAATTAAATATTCAACAGAGAGAAAATGATGAAAGCTTACGAGTTTGCGCTGGATAAAGTAGGGATTGACGTCGCTTCCGGGAACATCTGGTCCGACTACGTCAACTTCATCAAGGTATAGTAATATCACTGTATCACGTGATTAAAACTGGTCAATCAGAGCACAGAACCGGAATCACGTGACTAAAACTCACCAATTACAGGACGGAGAAGCAGCAGGATCGTACGCTGAGAACCAGAAGATAATGGCAATACGGCGGGTATACCAGAGAGCCGTGATGATGCCGCTGAGTAATGTTGAACAGCTGTGGAGAGATTACAGCACTTTCGAGCAGGTCAGAAGGAACAATCAGTTTATTTTAAGCAGTATAATTATATAGTGTAAATAATATGTAAAAATGGGATATCTAACTTGTTCGCTAAGCAATTCAATCTTGATTGTCAAGATAGAACGTGGCCTCCATCAATCGAATTTTAAACTTTTGGCGACACAGATCTCGAATGGGTAGTCACTGGGTACAATTAGTAGCCTTTATATGGGACACCCTGTACATAATGTTATCTGACCTTGCCTGGATATGCTTGTCTAAGCTTACTGTCTCCACTGTTGAGAAGGAGAATAAGTGTTAATCTTTATCTCTCGGCTTACTCAACATTATCAAAGGAACCGAAATTTAGAACTGAGGAACTGAGCAGAGCTAGTTAGAAAAAGTTTCAATCCTGCGCTGCTGTAACCAGGATACATCACGTGACTTAACATGACCACGTGACTAAACATGACCACGTGACCGAATCTCGACCTATCACAATATATTAACTGTCGTTATCAAACCAATGAGAAAGTTGGGACTGCCTGAATTCATTTTCTGACAAGAGAATACCTTTGTTTTTGTAAGTATTTGCATTTCAAGATGTTAAAGAATATTTGTTCTAGCATCTTTATAAGATATTGAGATATTGGTTAATATTGGTGCGGTCAAAATATAACTAGATTCTTTTTTACCTTGCTATAGTTCGCACATGAATAATAATAAGCAGTTGTATTATCGAAGCTTCTAATTGTAAGAATCAACCACGTGTTGGAGCTTTGACCAATCACAACACAGCAACCGACTCCGTGCTCTTATCCAACCAATAATAGAGCAAAGAAATCTCAGCGCCTTAACACGGCTACTTTTATTGGCATAATCGATTATTAATCCCGTTAACAATTATTTGCCAAGGGGTTTACAAGCGATTCTGTTATATCTGAACTGTTGGTTATTCAATATTCATGTAGCATCGTGCTGCTCGTCTCAGTGGAAAGGCATTGAGGTTTTCTTTTTTATTGCTTTATTGCATCTCAACAAACTCCTCAATAAACCAACCATGGCAACCATCCTCCTAAACCATGGCAACCATCCTCCTAAAAAGCTAAAACAGAATTAAACACATCATTCAGAACCCACATTATGGTCATTTGTATTGTTACAAAACCAGTGGACATTAAGAAACAGAGATATGGTAAGTTGGGTGTACCGTTTGAGTTAAAGTCTATGTACTTTAAAGAGGAGTTAGGGGCACCAGTTCCCCGTTTAAGTTAAGCAGTGTCTCTTTACTTTGAAGAGGAGTTAGGGGCACCTTCTGCTCCGCAAAACTCGAATGCGGCCATTCCAAATATTTTGAAACTTTTGAAGAAAATCCAGCCTACTTTTAGAAAAAACCCAGCAGCCCATTTTGAAGGGTCCTCCTATTGATGGAGGGATAAACCTTTTTGTGTTTCTACCCCCAATTATAATTAGGTCACCTTGCAAGATCTAATTTGCTGGAAAACATTATTAACAGCATTTTCATGATTCGTTGAGTAGAGCTGAAAATAAGTTTTACGCTAAAAAATCTTTAAATAAGCAGTTTATAAATATGATCGTTGCAAACACGTTGATGTTTAAGTCAGTTTACCTGTTCAATATTATCTTGGACGTCTTGAACATCTTCTACCAGATTATCAGTTTTCTCGTTTTGTTCGATCTCATGTTGAACATCTTTTACCAGAATATCATTTTTCTCGTCTTTTTCGATGTCATCTTGAACATCTTTTACCAGAGCATATATATATCACGTGAGTCACGTGCCTATTTGCCTAAACACCACGTGACTAAAGAACACGTGACTTAACATCACCACGTGACCAAGTGACCACGTGACCAAGTAGTTAGTGAGAAAGTTGGGACTGAACTGATTACCTGAGAATACAATTGTTTTTAGCATTTGAAGAAGTTAAGGGAGGATTGTCTCAGACTTTAGTAAAAATATTGAGATATTGGTGGTTAATATTGGTTGTCAAAGAGGTCTATTATGTTTTACCTTGCTATAGTTCGCACATATATCTAATAAAGTAATAAGCAGTACTCTTCGTGTTCGAGCTCTGACCAATCAGAACACAGCAGATATCCACGTCGTGTTCGAGCTCTGACCAATCAGAACACAGCAGATATCTACGTGTTCGAGCTCTGACCAATCAGAACACAGCAGAGATCTCGGGCCGACAACATCTACGAACAGTGGCGAGTGTTGCGACATTTTCAAAATGCGCGTGAACACCTGCTCGCGTCCAGGGGGTGTTAACTGTTAAGGGATCTTAACCGTACTTTAACAGGCCTTAATTTGTACTTAACTCGGAAACCATTGATTCTTTCATTTAGTCCCTGTACCATTAAACATAATGTTGTCCTCAGAATGTGAACGAAATCATAGCCAAGAAGCTGCTAGAAGAACGAAGTAGAGATTATCAGAACGCACGGCGAGTAGCAAAGGACTACGAAGCCACAACACGTGGGCTGACGCGCGGCGCTCCTGCTGTACCTCCCCAAAACAGTGCAGAGGAACGGCAACAGATTGAAATGTGGAAAAAGTAAGTTCACACTTATTTTAACTGTATGATATCATCAACATGTATCACGTGACTAAAACTGACAAATCAGAGAACAGAACCCGAATCATGTGACTAAATCTATTATAATATATTATAATGTAGTTGTTTTGTCTGAGCTCATGTTAGCCCGTTGGTTATATTCCCATTTAAAACTTAGCTGTCTGACGTATAGGCTGGAACTTCTGGAATCAAGATAAATGTTAATTATCACTGGATTTAAGTTACCAGTTAAACTTGCCTTACCCTAGCACACAGCGATTTTAACTTGAAACATTAACTATTTAAAGTCATATTATATGACTTTAAACTAATTACAACACTACAAATCTATTACATTCATTGAGAATTATGTAATGTAACGCGATGGAAGTATTTTAAGCGGGCATATCCTGTCCAAACCCAGGATGCACGACATAAAGAATTCGTTTTAACTTGTTTGTATGAAAAGCATCAATATACCACCAGGGACAAAAGGGAATCGCGGCATGTACAGAATCGCGATTTTCCCCATTTTTTGCGACAAATTGTGCATGTGTTGCGGTATCAATCGCGGTAAAAATCGCGGTGTCGCGATTTTTGGCCAAAATAATCGCGATTTTCTTTTGTCCCTGTATCTCTGTATACCACCCCTACAGATACGTAGCCTGGGAGAAGAACAATCCCATGAGGAGTGACGACAACAGTCTGATAAAGAAGCGGGTGATGTACGCGTACGAGCAGGCATTGCTCACGTGGGGTCACCACCCTGATATTTGGTACGAGGCGGCGCTGTTTCTGGAGCGCAGTGCTAATCTGGTGCACGAGAAGGGCGATACTCAGGTAATGTTGTGACGTCACGTGTTGTGGTGACGTCACGTGGTGTTGTGACGTCACGTGTTGTGGTGACGTCACGTGGTGTGGTGACGTCACGTGGTGTTGTGACGTCACGTGTTGTGGTGACGTCACGTGGTGTTGTGACGTCACGTGTTGTGGTGACGTCACGTGGTGTTGTGACGTCACGTGTTGTGGTGACGTCACGTGGTGTTGTGGTGACGTAATGATAACCTGCAATATGTGGCTCTACAATTTCAATTTATCATGATTGCGGTATTGTAAATGTTGTATTTGTGAAAGTTTCAAATCAACAAAGAAACCCATCAATATTAGATAATATAATAATTAACATTACTAAATTATAAATTTAATTAAATTATAACTCCCTTCCACACCAGGCTGCCCAACACTGGAGGGACGAGGTAGCGTCACTTTACGAGAAAGCAACAACAGGTCTACTCAAAAACAACCTCCTTCTTCACTTTGCTTTTGCAGACTACGAGGAATCCCGTATGAAGACTAAGGAATGTCATGAGATTTACAGGGATTTGGTGGCTACTGTTGCGGATCCTACTTTGGTATGCTTTCAGTTATATTGAAAATATTTGAAAATATTGTGCGAACTGCAATAGCGTAGAGTGCAGTTGGGTTTCAAGTTTTGTCGAGATGGCTATGTGGCCATAATCCTATTATTATATCGGGTCTCAATAAGAGGTCTCGACTGCCTAGGCATCAAACCTTGGCAATCGGTAATTTTCCTCTGGCCCGGAGTCAGCTGACCCTAGGGACCAGAGGATAAAGACGTAGAGACTGTGTGTATCTACAAAAGTGGATGTTTTTACAAGAGACAGGGCTTGCAATGCAAGGGAAGAAAAATGGGCGAAACAATCATAAAGTGTATATTATATGAATTAACAAATAGAAATTCAAACAATCCTACACTACAAAAAATGTTTATTACATAGTTATAATATGTTGTATAAACAAGAAACAGGGCTTGCAGGGCAAGAGATGGGACACATAAGAGCTGGACACAGAATGTATAATACAGCAATTCAGCAAACACCTATAATACTAATACTGAAAACTGAATCACAAATTATCACAATAATTACAAGAATATACGAAATACTAAACACAATTTGTATACAAGAAACAGGGCTTGCAGAGCAAGGGAAGAGAAACAAGAGAAATAACTGTAACAATTGTATATCACAAAGTCCAGACGAAAATAATCTTTACACAAATCTGGGAGTAATTTCAATACAGTATTATATACTAAATAAATACAATAACTTTCCGATATGTACATTGATATGAGTTACAAGTTGTATAAACAAGAGACAGGACTTGCGGAGCAAGGGAAGAGATAAAGGAGGACCAGGCAAAAAGTATATAATACAGTTATACAGAATAAACTAAAACTGAAAGAAGAGCTACGGTGTATTAAACACTCAATTAGATGTCCAAGACCATCCTGAGAATTCTGGCTGATCCAAGCAGAGCTGTCTTCTGAAGATTAGAGATGCTCAGATTGCAGTGGACTGCATCGAGGTGCTTACGAAAGTTTATGGTGACAGTTCCTAAAGCGCCTACCACCACTGGGACAATTGTAACCTTTCGTAAACTCCAGTTCTTCTTAATCTCTCTTTTTAGGTCTTGATAAGCTAGTATCTTATCTTGCTCTCTATCCAAGATCCGGGTATCTCCTGGGACTGCAACGTCGATGATGGTTGCTGCGTTGGTTACCTTGTCTACCAGGAGAAGATCCGGTCTGCAGTGCTCGATAACGTGGTCTGACTGGATGTGAAAGTCCCACAATAGCTTGACTTTTTCGTTCTCCAACACCTTCTCTGCTCGGTGTTCGTACCACTTTTTACTGCGTGAGAAGCCGTATTCCTTGCACAGACTCCAGTGCAATGCGGCAGCTACTTTGTCATGCCGACACTTATATTCTGTCTGTGAAAGTTTTGGGCACCCATTCAGTATGTGATCTATTGTCTCATAATGATTTCTGCAGAGTCTGCAGAGTGGAGAAGAGCCAGGTGTTTTGTCAATCTTATTCTTAACATAGTTAGTCCTAAGTGCTTGGTCTTGGGCTGCTATCAACAATCCTTCTGTCTCCTTCTTCAAGTCTTGTTGAGTGAGCCAGTTCCAAGAGGTTATCGGATCTGCTATACCCGTCATCTGCCTTGGAAACTGTCCGTGCATCACTTTAGTTGTCCACTTCTCCTTGCGTATTTCCTCGCGTTGTGTTCGGTCAGTATCTTTGTCTATCTCTTCACCTAAGAGTATCTTGTCTTTTACAAAGTAGTCCTTTAGAGCAATCAGTTCCGGGTCTCTACTCTTCATCACATAGGTGGTGAGTGCATTCTCCTCTCTCTTTACGACTTCCTCTATACTATGGAGCCCACGGCCACCAAGTTGACGGCTGACGTATAGCCGATCAACATCTCCTTGGGGATGATGAGCTCCATTTATCCTCATTAGTTTCCGGGTCTTGACGTCCAAGGCTTTGATTTCTCCAGCGTTCCAAGAAAGAATTCCAGCTCCATATCTTATCACACTTTGATATGTAACTCGAGCATGCTAATGAGCGAAGTCCTGACTATATTAATTGTTTATAATAATATCATCGGTAATGTTCATTATTCATGTTATAAGATGAATATCATTAATTAAATACGAATTGTTGTCTTACTTAACATTATATAATCCTACTTACTCAACTTGATTATTTTTCATCTAAGTACAGTTTATTGAAATCAAGAATCAATATTTCCTGCAATCAGACAACGAATAACTGTTACCGTAAAATTCAAATAAAATATTTACAACATTGGTAGAATATTTTCTTTCATCATCAGTACCTAATAAAGATATGATAAGTTAGTAAAGTTCTCCAATAAATCAAAATTAATCGAGAACAAACAGCTGAAGACGATTTACACATGTATTTTGAAAGCTCCTGCTAAAACAAACTTTTCGTATCTCTTATATATGTTTTAAACAAATCCCCCGCCAAGAACAAACAATTTATTTTATTGTATCATTATAATACAGGGTGGGCCAAAAGTCAGTACCCATACGTTGGTCTTTATAGCTCAGTCACTGAGTGCCCAATTTAAATACTTCGTTCTGGTATGACTTAGTACCACCACTGGTTCGAGGAATTTGTCAACTCGAAAAATGTTTGCGTTCATTTTTTTCAAATGGAAGTTCATTTTCACATTTATTTGATAGTTTGGATAGTCGGATCAAGCTCTGAAAAAATTAGGCGTTCAGCATGTTCAGAGAAAACAATATAGGTGTTTTAATATTGAATGGGCGTGGTCTAAAATATTCGAATTTTCAAATTTTGACGACGGAATCCTCGAACCAGTAAGTACAGTATGCCATCTGCAAAGCAACAGCTCTCAAATATACAACACGGTGGAGCTATTAAGGCCAACGTATGGGTACTGACTTTTGGCCCACCCTGTATATTCTATTATATTACAATATATTTATTAATATATTATATTATTAATTATATGGTGCAGGTTTCTTCTACAGCACTGAAAGGAAATTTGACCAGTGGATTTCCGATGTAAACAAATCCTTGAAAGAATATGGGCTACTCATTGACGAATCCCAATGGAAGGAAGTTGGCACGCCTGTGGCTTTTCTAGATATCGAGTTTTGTTTCGACCCTGAGGGAAACTTACAAACTGACCTCCATATCAAGGAAACCGATTCAAGGAGCTATCTACATTTTAGCAGTGCACATCCAAACCACATTTATAGTGGAATAGTTTACAGCCAGTGTATCAGACTCAGGAGAATAATCAACTCGCAAGAACGACTGGAAACCAGATTGAGTGAATTAAGCCAAGCATTCAAGGCAGCTGCTTATCCCTCAAAAATGGTGAACAACATTAGCAAAAAAGTTCTCAACTCAGAAAGAAACCTTGAACGAAGACCTCCCAAGGACAACACACTGAAGCCAGAGATCCTACCAATAAGGGTTGTCTCAACCTACGGAAGTGACTCTGACATTGTCACCACAGTGAAAAAGTATGAGGAGAACTTAAAGAAGACCAGAAGTTTTTGTAACCTGAGTGACTCAAAACAACAGAGTAACACCCTTGAAGAAAAGAAGAATGGCAAAAAGTTCTTCCAATTTGTCAAGAAAACAGGAAGCAACCTCAAAAGCCGGTTGGTTAAGGTGAAAGAAATAGCTCTGGGGAATAAGCATGGTCAAACAAGGCCGTGTAGAAAGAAGAACTGTGCAACGTGTGAGTCTATTGATAGTGCTACACAAATCAGCATCAATGGGAAACGGGTAAAACCAGCACCAGGTACATGCATCACTTACAACATCATATATTTGATCAGATGTAAACTGTGTGAGAAACCATACGTAGGCAAATCCACCAGAATGCTACGGGTAAGGTTTGGCGAACACAGAAGAGCATTCTACAAGATCATCAGTGGGCAAAAGGTTGACACGGATGATGATTCAAACTGCGTAGGACTCCACCTCCATATAGAGCATGGACTGACTCAGAAGGAAAATTTTAACAATAGTGTTTCAGTGTGTATCCTAGAAAATTCAAGTCCTAGTAGTTTAGATGTTAAGGAGCACCGATATATACATGCCTTAAATTCCCTCCGCCCCTCAGGAATGAATAGTACAAACCCTTTTAAGATTCCTTTATTGCATAATTGATTTTTATTTTGCCTGAGGGGCTTTCCATAAATTATTTTTTTAAATAATTGGTCCTTTTATTGATGTTTCATATTTCACGGCAGTTTCCTTTTCAGAGTTTGAGTTTATATTTAGAAACTAACCATACTATCTTTTAGATTTATGTCACTTATGATGGCTCCGGCTGAAAGTACTATGACTCATTTTATCTAGAAGATTGTAGTTTCATTGCTTCTGAAGTAGCTATCAGTTCGCCGGTCAATGTTGGGAAAAATACTCTCATATATTTATTATATTATATATTATTATTTATAACTCCGCCACAGGTGTTTGTGCAGTACATGAAGTTTGCGCGCAGAGCTGAGGGTATCTCCGCAGCGCGTGCTGTCTTCAAGAGAGCGCGGGAGGACAAGAAGAGTACTTATCACGTGAGTTACTATTTTGTCACGTGACTAGTTATTACTACGTGAGTTAATATTTTCTCAAATTTGTATTCCTTCTTTTCCCGGCGATAGTTTTTATTTCAAAAGTTAAGATATTAAATGTTAAAAGATTATCCTATGTATTTTTAGTGGTCAAAACGTTAATAAAGCACACTATTTGATTGATGATAAGATGTGGGGTCGGAAATTATGATTAATTATGATCAATTATGATCAATTATGATTCATAATTATAGTTGATTATAATTGACGGTCCAATATCTCAGGTTTACGTAGCTGGTGCCTTGATGGAGTATTACACATCCAAGGTATTTTATTTCTTAAATAATGAAACAAATTTGTTAACTTAATCGCTTGTTAACTAAATCGATTTTAAATTAAAAGCTACAGATGTTACTGAAATAAAACGTCTACAGATTTCTCATTCATAACAACAAAATGCCTCAGAAGTTATTTGACTTTGTAGTAAATCCAGTGTGACAGTGCGTTCAAAACCTGTTACGAGTAACATCTGACGTCATAACGTATCAATGACGTCATAATACGTTTGTGACGTCATTGCGTATTTTGGTGCTGTTGCCATGGCACTTGTAACCATGTTAGGCTTTTGATTTTTATATTTTCGGAAAAAAATGTTAGTATTTATGAAAGATAATTTGTAATCGTATCATGGTACAATTACTGAATGAAATGCCCAAAAATAACCAATTCTTGCTTCACGTGTCCAATTACTGTTTAGTGTGTCCAACTTATTGCTTCAAGTGTCCAACTTATTGCTTCAAGTGTCCAACTTATTGCTTCAAGTGTCCAACTTATTGCTTCCAGTGTCGGATAGAATAGTATATGTGTCCAATTTACTGCTTCAAGTGTCCAATTTATTGATTTCTTGCTTGTATTCAACTAAAAAATTATCGGTTTTGCTTCTGCTACATGATCTCATGATACTGTACTGTATAAATTATAAATCTGCGAACTTTCGGCTTCTGTGCTCACTTTCGGCTTCTGTGCTCACATTCGGCTGCATGGATGAACCCTGTTATACTCGTCTGATATCTTTGGATTTGGAACCATAGCTTCCATCAGTATAATGTCAGAGGCTCTCACGCCCTTTATTGATGAAACCATCCGGATGATCATATTATGGACAATACAATTATGGAGGGCTTCGGGAGTTAGACCTGTACATGAGACCCTGATATAGATACACTGCAATACCTGCTTGAACCATTGCTATCTTATTTTAATTGCTATTTAGTTGCTATTGTTATTGCTATTCTTGACAATGACTTATCATAGTATGACAATGACCTAATCATAGTATCAAGTTGGAAATTTTTTTTTTTTGTATACAATTTCTCCTGTTTTATAAAGTTACTGCTTTAAATCTGCAAATTTATCTCTTCAAATTGACCTGGACTTTTTCTCGTCTGGCTGCTAATAATGACGATAAAACGACTTGTTCAGTTCAAGCTACTGACTGTTGATCAGTGGAGAGAGGCAATTCTGGGCATTCTGGGCTTTCCGTTAAACTGAGATTGATCATGTATTCAGTTCAAACGCGTATTTCTGGAACAATTAATCATTGCTATTGTGATTTTTGAGATGCGGAGCTACTAATTCAGATACATGCTGTAAGAAATTGTTACTTTGCAAAAATCTTCTGTGTCACATTAATGCTTCTCGCGTCAATTTATTGTGTCAAAAACAAGATAACTTTTTTAGATAAAAGAAAACCTTGAAACAGTTTGATCCATACTTCTATCATACATTTTATGTTAAAATAAACTACAGAGAGGATCACCATTAACACTGTATATTACATCTGCTACAACAAATAATTTAGACATTATCAGCATTCTCTATTCGGCCCTGAAGACATTGCCCAACCTATAATTTGAACGGTAGTTTGAGTGCGTACAAATACAATGTGAGTAAAAGTTTTGCCAGCATTAGTGTTAACTTTCTACCCGTACTTTATCATGCAATGTCCTTGTAAAATGTAACATTTTGCGCTGATCCAAGACCTACATCAATTACTCTGATCCAAAAAAAGAGGTCGTTTGTGTGAGTGTGACTGGTATGTAGTGTGACTGGTATGTAGTGTGACTGGTATGTAGTGTGACTGGTATGTAGTGTGACTGGTATGTAGTGTGACTGGTATGTAGTGTGGCTGGTATGTAGTGTGACTGGTATGTAGTGTGACTGGTATGTAGTGTGGCTGGTATGTAGTGTGACTGGTATGTAGTGTGGCTGGTATGTAGTGTGACTGGTATGTAGTGTGGCTGGTATGTAGTGTGACTGGTATGTAGTGTGACTGGTATATAGTGTGACTGGTATGTAGTGTGACTGGTATGTAGTGTGGCTGGTATGTAGTGTGACTGGTATGTAGTGTGACTGGTATGTAGTGTGACTAGTATGTAGTGTGACTGGTATGTAGTGTGACTGGTATGTAGTGTGGCTGGTATGTAGTGTGACTGGTATGTAGTGTGACTGGTATGTAGTGTGGCTGGTATGTAGTGTGACTGGTATGTAGTGTGGCTGGTATGTAGTGTGACTGGTATGTAGTGTGGCTGGTATGTAGTGTGACTGGTATGTAGTGTGACTGGTATGTAGTGTGGCTGGTATGTAGCGTAACTGGTATGTAGTGTGACTGGTATGTACTGTGACTGGTATGTAGATTAGTGAGTAGATTGGTGAATGAAAGAATGTTCTGAAAAACAAATCGCTATCTGTCGGAGAAAGGTCCGCTCCCTCAACCTTGGAAATCGCTTTGAACACTTCGTGGTAAGTACAAGATTCCAGTAAAATATTTTGCAGCAAATAAAGCAGTTTTCACGAACCCTCGGTGCTTTTTGTAACTGATTTCTCTTTCAGTCCAAAGATATTGCACTGAAGATATTTGAGCTTGGACTTAAGGTAAGGATGATAAAGAAGAAATAATTTAATTGATCATCATCACCAATTATATTATCAAAAATTAGCCTCTTTGGCTTTTGTAAACATTTTATTTTTGTTTTATTGGAAAAATAGCAACATTTACCCCTTACAGAAGTTCCCAAAAAACACATCCTACATCCTGAAATACCTGAACCACTTGTCTCACCAAAATGGTAAGGTTCCTGTATTTTATTTATTGGCTAAATTCCGAATTTGGAAATGAACTCAACTGGTCTACAGTCGGCCTTACAATTTAACCTTGATTATTAATAGCAACTTTTCTAACGACACATTTAAAAGTTAAATTATGTACCAACAATAATTAAACCACTAGTCCCAATTTTAATGTCACTAAATGTCACTAAATTAATGTCACTAAATGCCACTAAATGCCACTAAATTAACTACACCCCAGACGACAACACAACACGTGTGCTATTTGAGCGGGTACTAACCTCACTAGACAAGGACAACAGTTGGCCCATATGGCACGAGTTCCTCTCCTTTGAAAGCAATGTAGGTGATCTGGCATCCCTTATGAAGGTGGAGAAACGGAGGTCAACTGCTTTTGAAACTGTAAGTTTTAACATTTGCGGCATATTTTTCAATCCTGATTTGATTTAACTCACTAGCATGGGATGGTTCACGTATCATTATTATATAAGCAATTTTGAGCCTATTAGACAGCAACACCTTCCCTGTTAGCCACTTTATAGATAGCTAATGTGTTGAAATTACACTAGTATTTTTTCTAAACATCCTCCACCGATTCCTTACCGATTTTATCAGCTCATTGTCAAATTATCAACTTTATCATCCTAACTAAGCTCGCCCTCATTATCCAATTAAATACTAATTAATTATCACCCCACAGGAGTGTAAGATGAAGGAAACATCACTGCTAGTGGACAGGTACAAGTACCTGGACCTGTACCCCTGCACTGCTCAGGAACTTAGAGCCATGGACTACCAGGTATATTTGTTAATTTACACTTACAACGAATTAACAACAAACTGACAACAAACTAACAACAAACTAACAACAAACTAACAACAAACTAACAACAAACTAACAACAAACTAACAACAAACTAACAACAAACTAACAACAAACTAACAACAAACTAACAACAAACTAACAACAAACTAACAACAAACTAACAACAAACTAACAACAAACTAACAACAAACTAACAACAAACTAACAACAAACTAACAACAAACTAACAACAAACTAACAACAAACTAACAACAAACTAACAACAAACTAACAACAAACTAACAACAAACTAACAACAAACTAACAACAGGTGGAACAAGACCTCTCTGCCAACAGGAACCTTCTGACCACCGCCCAAACTAACATTAACAACAGAGAGCAGCCCGCTAAGGGATCAGGGGGAGTAGCGAGACCAGATGTTAGTCACATGGTCCCTTACGCTCCTCTTCCTTCTTCCAGTAAGTGTTTCAGAGTTATTACCACCAAAATGTGTAATTTGAGATATATTTTCTACTAACAAATGGAGTCCTTTTTTACTTAACAATTAAAAAAAGTTAACAATCTAAACAGATTCTAATTTATTTAACAGATTCGAAGTAACTAGAGAAAGTTTAGACATCATATCATTACAGGTATCAGGGCCAGCCAGATCTACGGATACCCCGTTCCAGCTGCAGCTTCAGACCTTCTCACCCACATGCCTCCGCCTCATTGCTTTCACGTGAGTTCCTACGTTACACTCCAATATTTAAATTCTAGTATTTAATACCTGCTAGAATGTGTTTAAATATTTGTCAATGGGGTATGCCATATGTTAAGCCGTTTCTTCGACTTGATTTTGATGAAATTTGTCTGTTTTGTTAATGCTTAACTTCGTACTTACCAGTTACCTTACTTTTTTCGTTTCACCCCCTGCACAAAAAGTCACAACTTCGGCAGTGTGCCAATTTATCTTTTCAGGGCAAAACTGGAAGGCGCGAATCACAATTATTTGCACTTTTTCCGCTGTTCGCATTTGTCACACGGACTTATTACGGGCGCGCGTTTTAGAGTTCAGCGCCAAGTCGCATGGCGTGATTGCAATTTACCGCGTTTCGTTGAACCACTTCTTTGTACGATAGAGGTTGTACTTTTTAGTGCAGTCATTCTTCTTGACGACAAAATACTCATATGAATATAAAATAACAGCCCAATTGACCCTCCTGTGTCTATGGAGGTACTGGGTGAGCGCCCCCGGCGCAGAAAGCAGCAGCATTTGTCTCAGGAGACAAAAACCCTTATTGCAGAACGCAGTAAGATTAAACAGATGGCGCCTAGTGACAACAACAACAGGAGCGAGTATTCTCGGGCCAACAAACTTGTCAAAAAGAGCTGCAGGAAAGACGACGAGAATTGGGCTCTTAGAGTTGCAGCAGATCTGGAAACAACTGCTGTCCATGGCCGGCAAAGGGAAGTCTGGCAACGGATAAAAACACTGTCCGGTAAGAAGAATCGAAAATCAACTGCTGTAAGAGACAAATCCGGGAAGTTGATTGCTGATCCTTCTGCTCAGAGAGAGAGAGATGGGGAGAACATTTTTCGGAGCTATTAAACCCTCTTCCCACGAATGCGGATCTGTCTGACCTGGACCATCTTGAAGTGGTTCCATGCTTTCCTTATCTTGGTGATGGTGATGGTCCCCCCACTAGACTTGAGATTTTAAACTGTCTCAAAAAATTGAAGAACCACAAAAGTGCTGGGATCGACGAAATATCTAATGAGCAGTTAAAGTATGGGGCAAGTGGTCTTGTGGATAGGATGGAGAAATTGTTCTCTAAAGTTTGGAATTCAGAAGCAGTGCTTGACGACTGGTTGAAAGGCATCGTGATAATTGTACCAAAGAAGGGTGATACCTCTCATTGCTCCAATAATAGGGGGATCACTCTAAGATCTACAGCATCTAAACTGTATCAAATCATCATATTACAACGCATGAGTGACGGTTTAGAAAGTTTGCTACGAGACAATCAGTGTGGGTTTAGAAAGAACAGATCATGCATTGATCAGATTTGTTCACTCCGCACTATTATACATAACTGCATTGAATATAATCTCCCCCTGTATGTAAATTTTGTGGACTTCAAGGCAGCTTTTGATTCCATCGACAGGAATTATATTTGGAAAGCTTTCAGTCATTATGGCCTGCCATGTAAATACATTCGAATAATACAGGCATTCTTTAATGGAACTGTTAGTGCTGTTAGACACAATGGTGAACTATCAGAATGGTTTGAAGTAAGTTCAGGCAGTGACCAAGGAGACATTCAGGGTCCCCCACTTTTTAATGTCTGCCTCAATGTGGCTGCTGAGAGAACAGAAAGCAACAAAGTGGTGTCCCACGGAGCGGTTCTTCAAAGATCTATCAGTCCGCTTGTTGAGGATATCACTGTGTTAGATACAGATTATGCAGATGACATGGCTGTACTGGATAACAGCGAGGAAGGTCTTCAAGAAACAACTGACCTTTTGTGTATGTATGGTGCCCAGGGAGGTCTTAGAATCAATGGTAAAAAGACTGAGGCTATGGTCATTGGTAAAGCAACCTCTCAACGGCCATACACGAAAGAAGCCACAGTGAACATCACTGTTGAAGACACGCCAGTGCAGCAAGTTAGTGACTTTACGTACTTGGGTACAATTATTTCCAGCGACGGTACTATCGACCGTGAGCTGTCAGCTAGGATTCAGAAAGCTTCCGGAGCCTTCAATCAACTGAGTAATATATGGAAAAACCGCAACATCCAGTCTTATACAAAGATCAGGATTTATAAGGCAGCGGTTTTGACAATATTGTTATATGGTAGTGAGGTTTGGAACACAACCAAAAAGCAGCTACATCGCTTTGAGGTGTTCCATCAGCGTTGCTTGAGGAGAATACTTAGGATAAGATGGCTCGATCGGGTTAGAAACACTGAAGTGCTGGAGCGTGCAAAGATAAATCCAGTAGAGACGTACATAGGAGCAAACCGCCTGCGTTGGTTTGGCCATGTCACCAGAATGCCAGACACTAGGCTTCCTAAGTACCTGCTTAACTGGACCCCTGCCCATGGGAGAAGATCTAGGGGCCGTCCAAGAAAGAACTGGAGGAAATGTTTGCTGGAAGATGCTGCAGCGTTTACAGGAAACAATGACATAGACCTAGAAGGAGCGAGCGAGATGGCTATTGACCGCAAACTTTGGAGGGAGATGATACGTCACAAACGGGAGTTCATTGGTGCAGGCCACTCGAGTGATTGAGGAGACCTAATCAAGTACAGTAAGTAATTGACCCTCCTCCATCCTTGCTTAAATTTCCTGACATAATTTATTCACTTGCCTACATAATGGGCATAATTTGTTAGACCCTAACAATTTACCAAAACCTTAGGGACCCTTTGTGGCAATCGACAAGCTGGTTAAGATTATAGCCGAAAAGTGCCCACAATCATTTGACTTGATGCTCGAGCGGATGGCAGGTAGATAATACACTTTAAATCAAACATTTAATTGTCTTTATTCGCATTTAACGAGTTGCATTGTTAGTTGTTACAACATAGCTATTAATTCTAATGCAAAGAAGCAACTTGGTCATATTTTAATTCTCTTATCAAGTTCTTGATAACAACACACTTCTATTCACAGCTTCAGAGAACATGGACGTAGACCAGTACATGTCCAGTTCGGACCGCGGAGACCGTGCCAAAAAGCGCCATCTCGACGAGGAAGCAGAAGAGGGCCCCACGCGCGCTGTGGCCCCGCCCGCCTTCGATCTGTACAGAATGAGACAGCAGCGCCGACACGACACAGCTACAATTTGAGACCTTTCACGTGACTTTCATATAAAGATTGTTGTGTCCCATAGGGACTGCTCAATTTATAAATCTTGCTTGACAGGTTAAATAATAGTAAATACTGTTTTTAGTGTCATGTTTGAACTGTGTCACCAGTTTATAAGTGGCTCGACGCTTATGTTAGTCAAATTGTGTTGAACCTTATTTTTATTATTCTAATCAGCTTGATCAAACGAAATGTCTTCCAACAAGGATTTATCATTTTCAGCATTTCTTGGAAATATCCAACATTTTTTGTCCACCTCTGCCAAAGTTTTAACTGTATTTATTACAAATCTTGACTATAATTTATTGATTCTTGATGTTTTACTAAATTCCCAATCCAAAGTAATTTGTAAATTATACATTATCCGGTATCCAATCAGAACAAAGGGATACTAAGGAACGGTATATAGTTGTATGTTAACAGGAAACGATGTAACAGAGTCAATATATTTTAATGTTGCCATGGGGTGGCAAGTCCCCATTCATCGTAGTCCGATAGTTTCAATGCATCCTAATATAACATTTTATTTGTAGGTTATATTCTCACCAGATTTATAATTTGATCGATCACGCCTGAACTAAATTGGCCTTGGGTTACTAAAACTGACCCAGAATTATACTGATCCTAGTTTATCACAATAGCGATGGTCAGCACCGAGCAGATCCGGAACAAACGGAAAAGGGTGAGCAAAAAGAACAAGAAATCATGGAGGAAGAACACCGAGATACAGGATGTGGAGAAGTTTCTAGAAGCAAAGCTGCGGGAAGAGCGGACAGGGTGAGGGGTTTATTTTGGTGATGTTTGTTGCTATTCTTGTGGTAACTGTCGTTGTGCCCCCAGAGCCCCTTTAGAGTTGGGGTTGGTGATGTTAATTGCCTCTCTCTGTCGTCTAGCCAGGGCGTTGTGCTCTAGCACATTGTTCCCCCCATTAGGGTTGGGGCAGGACGTATGTATTTAATTATCATGAAATATTGTACAGAGGGGGGAGGGGCAAAAGTCAGTACCCATACGTTTTCGCATTTATTTGATAGTTTGGATAGTCGGATCGAGCCAAATTTTATTGAATTGTGTTTGGACATTTAAATTACGTTTGTCCTGAAAAAATGAGAGTGCTAGCTTCTCAGATGACTGAGATGTGAAGATTAACGAGGTTATTCATTACGTGTGATCATGTGATTGGGTTGCACTATGGCCATGGGAATCGTGCAGAAAGCCCAATTACGGTGTCGTAGCACGCAATCACATGATTACCCAATCAATTTTGCTAACGAGATAATCAATTTGGCGCCATCTTGTCAGATCAAATTCCGGATTTAGTCTATTATATATATATATACAGGGTGGGCCAAAAGTCAGTACCCATACGTTGGCCTTTATAGCTCAGCCACTGAGTGCCCAATTTAAATACTTCTTTCTGGTATGACTTAGTACCACCACTGGTTCGAGGAATTTGTCAACTCGAAAAATATTCGCGTTCATTTTTTTCAAATGGAGGTTCATTTTCACATTTATTTGATAGTTTGGATAGTCGGATCAAGCTAAATGTTATTGAATTGTGTTTGGCCATTCGAATTACGTTTGTCCTGAAAGAATTAGAACTGTAGCTTCTCAGATGACCGAGATATGAAGCATAACGAGTTTATTCATTACGTGTGATCAGGTGATTGGTTTACCCAATCACGTGATAAGGTCCCCCGTTAACTACCCCGTTAAACATTATGGGAATTGTTAAGGGTGCCCAATTAAGGTGTCGTGTCACGGTGTCACATAATCACCCAGTCAATTTTGTTAACGAGATACAGAAAATGCTTGATAACTTCGTCATTTCTAATCCGTTTTGCCTCATGTTTTCAGATCATATGCAACATTTGATAATCTACCGTCTCTGAAAAAATTAGGCGATCAGCATGTTCAGAGAAAACAATATAGGTGTTTTAATATTGAATGGGCGTGGTCTAAAATATTCGAATTTTCAAATTTTGACGACGGAATCCTCGAACCAGTAAATACAGTATGCCATCTGCAAAGCAGCAGCTCTCAAATATAAAACACGGCGGAGCTATTAAGGCCAACGTATGGGTACTGACTTTTGGCCCACCCTGTATCTATTGCAATATGTTACAATGAATTTTCTAGCATGTTTGCAAATACGAGTATAAGCAATTCGATGTTGACTGGGTGTGGCCCTAAAAACCAAATTCTCAAATTTTGGCGACGGAATCCTCGAACAGTATTCCATCTGCAAAGCAAAAACTCTCAAATAAAACACGGTAGTTGTATAAGACCCAACGTATGAGTACTGACAACTCTCAACATAACCATAGTGACACATTTAAACATTTCCACAGAGGTGCTCCAACGGATAAGAAGAACAAAGATTTATTCTTCATAGACAAGTCCGACATATTCGAGACGTCCAAGTCAAAGTTGGCATCAATGAAATGCCACACTGAACTACAGGTTAGATTTTTAATTTCTTTAAGTTTGTTTTTTATATTTTACTGCGGAAGTAAAAGGGGTAATGGGCATGGGGTAATGGGCATGTATAATTTGCAATTTACTCGAGTTTGTTTCCTGTATTTACTATTTATACTGGATACATGTTTCGATATGTTGATGGCTTTATTTAATAGACTTCGGTTAGGAGTATAAGTAAGAAACCTATATCAATGCAAAATATAATATTGTAGTACAATGTAAACCTTTTATCGCCCAAAAAATTAAAATGCTTTTATCAGTCACTAGTTAGTCTAGTTTAACTAGACCAACTAGTTTAGTTGGGACTGTTAAAAGAGGATAATTTTAAACGTTGAAAGTATAAAAATGATAAATACAAGGTCAAATAAAAGTACGAATAATAGACTCGACTTTCAAATTATCATCGTGAATCATCACGTTATATGTATACTGTTCATCTTTCTGTTCATCTTTCTGGTTGGTTGAGCTTGCAGAACATGAACATAGCGAGATCATAGTAGTAAGATTCATCTTGTGGTAGTTTCAGCATGTTCCTCCAGTATTCCCAATGTTCGGCACTGTCGATCTGATATCCCATCGGCTGTTGATTGTCAACCAGTTTCTCCGCTACGTCCGTAAGCAGCTGGAAAGTATCAGTCATTAAAAATAAATAAATATTCGTTTTATTAAATATTTGTTTCAGTATTATTCTGTTAGCGGCGAATTAAAAGCTGGCAAAAACTCTGAAAATTTGAGCTGCACAACCAGATGGTCTCGATATGGTCATGAATTAATCTGAAATTTCGGATAATTTTATTATTAGCCTTTGTGGTCATTCTCATGGATTAATTCCTCAAACCCTTGAACTACATCAAAATAATCCCTATGTACCACCCTGATTATAAACCCTTATAAAATTTGTTTAAACTGAAATCATATGGTATTCAACTACCTATTAAGATGTTTCTACCTCTATATCCGAGAGATCGAAGTCAATATCGTCAAAACTCAAGGATCTACGCGCCGTCTGCGTCTGCCCTGGAGGATCAGGGGGGCCCCCTACTGAATAAATTATTACGCCGCTGTTGTAGCTTCGCTTCTCTCTTACGTGCGCATCTGGTAAACATGAAGTTAATCGATTTGTTTATATAATCATGTACGGCCTTGTGCCTATATGCTTAATTCTCGATTTTTGCCAAAAAATCACAGCTTTTTGAGCTGATTTTGTTGTTGCTTACCTTCGATAGCGGGGTCGGTCGGATATGCTGGAGCCAAATCTGAAACGGGTTCTACGTTATCTTAAATAAATGGTAAGAGTTAAATCAAATGTTTTCCTTACATAAATTACAGTCAGATGGTGCATGCATAATAAGATGACCACCACCGTGTGGTTATTCTTAATACTCACACTGATTTGTGATATTTTTATTTCCAGAGGTAATCCCAGGGTATCTTATCTTGAAAGCGATGAGGTTTAGATGGTTGATGATTCCGTTATTCTCGATATCTGATCAAAATATATTGCATAAGCATTGAACAAAAATAATTGGAGATATATATATTAAAGTCATTATTGTAACGGTATATTAGAACCAGACAGAAAAAAATTGTGAAGGGCCTGAACGGAACCGCTTGGTTTTAGTTCCTTGTTTAACACTGCCGTACAGCAAGGACATTCACCGCGTTCGCCAAGGCTGGAAACATAGCTCACTCCACAAGATGCTCTGTCAAATGTTGCTTATATACCGAGCATATATCAGACTTCAGTATATCAGTAAAATGGGATTAAAAGGTTTCGATGGTTAATATTGCAAAGCATGATTTTCCTGCTCGGGAAGGGGGTCTAAAACCTTTGACACAAGAACAGAGATCGGATTCTGGGTCCAACAGTCTCTCAATCATCTTGTACTCCCCCATAGCATTTTCCCAAGCCTCTGCCATGTGCAGTGCGTGAGCTACCTTCTCCAAGACGCTGTATTTCGGGATACCCCACCAGGTTCTATTCATGTTCCTCATCACCTAAGATAATTATAATTAATTAAGTAATTAGGGGGGTAATTATAAGTGCCCCATATGTTTCAAGAAACGCAGTAAACCAAATTTAGGACGTACGTCGTACATTTTGATAGGGATCACAATTCGCGTGAAATTATGATATAATTTCACGATTCGTCAATTATCACGATTCAGCCGATCCTCAAAAAATCATTCTTTGAGGGTTATACAATACATCGAGATAGTGAAATAGTAAAATTTACTATTAAACATTGTATTTATACAATTGTATTAATTTAATGTTTATAAACAGCACACTATTATTATTTTTCTTTCTCGTGCAAAATCACTTACCAAGTCGAAACTCTTTAGAGCCTTAGTTTTGAAGGCGTCATCATATCCGATCAGAGGTGCGTTGGGAAGAATTCTCTCTCTGCTCCTAGCATCTAAGTTCACTGAAACAAGCAAATGCCATGAATTGAGTAAATGTTCTTACAATTTTAACAATTTGAAATAATAATGAACATTTTGAACATTAATGATGCTGCTTCTTTAAGGGGTCGTTCACATATTACGTAATCACTGAGGGGGGGGGGGGGGTATAAATGATTACGCTAGTGTAATTTTGACGCAATACCTATTTGTAAAACTGATTACGGAGGGAAGGGGGTGTACAAATTGTCCCAAAGGTTATAAGATGTGAACGACCCCTCAAGACGACGAACATGTCAAAGATATTTCACATTTTTGTCGTCCAACACGTGGTAAAAATGTCGAAAATATTGAATCGACAAGTTCCTAACACCACAAGAAGGGATAAGAATGATTTATTACCGGTTGGGATACCGTTATCTTCTGTTGCGTTGGGTTTGAAATATAAACGGATATCCTCCACGGTGAGACAATGGATGCTGTGTGTTACCATGGGAGCAAAGTTGGGACTCAACCCTGCTGCCGCCATGATACGTGGGCACTGTTCCAGTGTTGGAGCTGAAATTTAGACGATATAAGTTCTTTGAAGCTCAACTAAGTGGACAAAATTTGCATCTTTACTAATGCTTGTATAGATAATATTCTACAAATTCGAATGCAATATTTTGTTATGTTTTAACGATGCAAACTTTTATAGTGAATTACCTGCTGTGGTAGCGCCAAGAAGGCAAGCTAGTAGAATAACCAACATTACTGCTAAGTAGCACAATTAAATATTCAATTTTTTGTATTACCTAAGTAACACAATTAATCTATAAATAAACGATATTGCGTTCAACGATTAAAGCTATGTTTATTAAGTGTCTTATGATTAATTAACATGCTAAATGTGCCAGAGGAATACTACCAAACCTATTGCTCTATTAAACATACTTTCCTATACAGTAGTGCATGTCCTTTAAAAATCATGTAAAGCTATCGTTAAAATCCCGATATCACGTGAAAGAAGAGGCTAGTATAGTATACAGTAACCCCCTCTTAGATAGTACAGTATATGGCCCAGTATAGCAACATTCCGACGGAAGATGCTGTGGAGCGCAGAAAACGTGACCAGCTCAGTGCCTCAGAGTGATACTAAAGTGGCATTGAGCTTGGTTTAAATAGCTTCATAGAAGGGTGGTTCTACTTCCCTTGTGCACTGCGAATTCAATTGCAATATTAATTAAACGCACCGAGAGGGCATATTAGATTATTTTTTATGTGGCTATGAACTTTAATTATTCGAGCAGTCATCCTAATTTCTAGTCCCCCTCTGAAATAAATAAATTATGAAAAATAAATTTATCATCTCTGTAAAATTGTTTAATTTCAAGCATTCAAGGAGAAATGCCGTACAGATTGCCTAGTTCAAGTTTATTTCATCTTTATTTCTCTACATAATCAGTCGAACATCATGCAGTGGACATCACAATCTGCAATTCTCATTAAAAATGAATTCACGTTATATCCAAAAGTTCAACTTTTGTTTGTAAAGTCGCACAATTTGGCAAAGTTGCAAGAGTTGAAACCAATCAGCTTTAGTCTAGCAGTATAATCAGGTGATGAAACTTGACGAGTTTTATTTTATCTTAATTTTTTATTACCGTTAACCGGCATGAGTTTAAAAATACATTTATTATCAATTTGATGTAAACGGGTTTTATTTGTTAGATTACAGATGTGTAGTATTAATACCAGTTAGTATGTAACGAGTAGTATGTTAACGAGTGGAGATTGAAAGTGGAACATCGAGTTCCTGTTTGCAGGAAGGGGCAAAGCGATCCAGACAGCATTTAGGGGAATGTTACACCTCGTTTGGTCAGATATTGTACTTGTAGGTAGAAGTGATAAGATGTAACTAGCCAGGCAGTTTGTAGGAAGATGGTGATTCCTTCTAGAAGGTCGGATAGAACCGGGTAAGACGGGACTCTATATAAATCAGACGGGATGATCAGGAGTGTTTCTGTTTATCCGGGTGGGGAGGATGATTGGTACAACTACAATATTAGCTTGTGGGAACCAGGACACTTTAATACCAGAGGATAATATGTTTTAAGAATTGGTTGAGCTCATTTGTCGATAATAGTTAAGCAGCTACGAATAAATGAAGAGCAACAACGTTTCCGTCATCAAAAATGAATTGATTTAGGGAATAATGTTTTTGTCGATTTTTGAAGCCCCTGTTTTTATTCCACGAAAAATGGACGGTTCAACTAAAAAATTAATTTTACTGTACCAATGACGGAATGAATTATTGGCAAACAAATGAATTATTAATCTTTATGACAGGACTTCCATTCAGATTGACACGAGAGTTGCTCCTGTCGTAGGACGGCTTGGTCCAAGTAAGAAGAAAAAGAAGAAGAAGCCGCAGCAAGATGTTTCCATGGTAACCAACTCCGACAACAAGAAGAGTGGTTGTGTGTACGATATTTGGGGCGCCAGTATTGAGAAGAAAATTACCAAGGAGTGAGTGTTATCAGCAATTAAATATTTAATTAATTAATATATTGTGTATATTTTTAGTAAGGGACCTTTTGTTTACCCTTTGGTAACCCTTTAGTTCCATGGGAAAATGATACAGTGAAAAAATTTGTTTGCGATATAAAATTATACGGGTGACCTGTTCCATTGCACACAGTAATCGATACGCGTATTGGTGGTGTCGGGCAGGATCAGGACTACAGCCACTCGAGTTTTAATTAGGATACAAAAACACAAACAGAAACTTGGATTCGGGACAACAAAATGCAATTATAATCTCGATTAAGACCGCCCGCAGCGACTATATTGTTTGAGTGAGAAAAATTTAATACGTGAGCACGGTCACAAATTAGTTTAGCTCAAATATTTCAGTAAATCGAAAAGAGAGAGCCAAAAATTCGGGAAAAAATTTATTTGAGTGAAAAATTTGAGTGAAATTTTGCCCATGGAACCAGAGGGTACCCCTCCGTAGGCCACTTTACACCAAGGTTGTTAAATACGTCAAATTTTCGTGAAATAATACGACGTATTCGGTTCCAATAAAGAATACGTCGTAATACGCCGTAATACGGTAATTTCTATGGATTGTTAAATACGTCCACGAATACGCCATAATACGCCGTAATACGCTGATTTGTCATTTGTCAAAATTAAACATTACAGCTGCGCGCCACCCTCATCATTGATCATGCATTAAAGGAGTGCAGTTATACATGATAACTTAAATTTGTAATCAAATTTCATGGATAATCCGATAAGCAAACAATTTTTTTGCGCGCACGACACACCTTTTCGTAATACGTCAATTTTCGAGGATTAATACGTATTCGTATTCCAATACGTATTCCCTCCTAATACGTATTTAACAACCTTGCTTTACACATTTGTGTGAATTTTTTCAGACCCCCTTCCCTAGATGTAATATTATGTTAATATGGGGTCGTTCACATATTACGTAATCAGCTGAGGGGGGGGGGGGGGTTTCCAAATGATTACGCTAGTGTAATTTTGACACAATAGCTATGTGTAAAACTGATTAAAGAGGGGGGGGGGGGGGTAAAAATTGTCCAAAAAGCGATTACGTAATATTATGTGAATGACCCCTATGTGAATTGTGAGCGATCCCTAATTGTTTTAGTAACTGTCTCACTAATTATTTCACTAATTGTTTTACTAATTGTTTCACTAATTGCTCTCCCCAGGTTAGACCCCTGTTTACCACCCCCATTCCTGCCACCAGCTTTCTACAAAGGATCAGACACCAAACTGAGTGCTGTGGAAGTGCCACATCCGGGATCTTCCTACAACCCTACCTTCACTGATCATCAGGTATTTTACATTTCTAGTTTACTGATAATCACTAATCAGGTATTTTATATTTCTAGGTCAATAGCTACAGAATCCCTCTTTTTCTGCAAAAACCACCATTCGTAACCTTCCGCTATTTCCTTTTTGCAAAAGAGTGAACGGAAAAATATTGCATTTTTGATTTTACAACATCAAAATTACCAACTGTCAAAGATATATCGAATAAGATAAAAGTATCATTCTAATGAGCACTAACTTAAAATGTCTTCTCCAGGACTTGCTACAATCGGCACTTGACGTGGAGGAGAAGAGAGAGAAAGAGAAAGCGAAAGCAACACGTGATGCTGCTCCTCCTATTCAAATTACCGAGGTACAGGGTGTTACAAAAGTCTGACGAGGATCTTATTTTTGGATAACTTTTATTCCATTTGTCTAAACTTTATCCTGTAAAAAGTTATAGGTAGTTCTAAGGTTTAATGGTGACTTCTCAAGTTTTTACGTTACCATGACCACCATAGCAACCGCAATCAGTCCCCTAGCAACTGAGGTAAATTTAGGTAATTTTTTTTCTCCTATCGACCAAATGAAAGACCAATAATATCTAGAAATAATATTTTATTTGATGTATGATATTTTAGATATTGAGAAGATATGAATAATATCTAATAATATAATATTAGCATTACAAAAACTGTCTTAAAAGTTCATAACGTGCTGGAGCATATATCCCCCTTTCCTCACATAAAGTTGTTTGAAACAGTATTTGTCTTATTTTGGATCTTTAACAGCTTCATAAAATGAAGATTGAAGAGCTGCAACTTTTTTATCTCAAATTATTTGCTAGATAGTTTAGTGTTGAAAGTATTCAAATCAAGGTTTTTAAACATTCATACCATCAGTATTATCAGGTTTTTAGAAGTGAGGAACTATGCACATATTCTAAATTCAAATTCTCGATACAATTTTATCGCTAGTTTGTTGGTACATTTTCGAAGAAATACTAATTTCAGGAGGATTACATTAAAGAAATGAGTATCGGGCTGAAGAAATACTAATTTCAGGAGGATTACATTAAAGAAATGAGTATCGGGCTGAAGGAAGAAATACTAATTTCAGGAGGATTACATTAAAGAAATGAGTATCGGGCTGAAGGAATACTAATTTCAGGAGGATTACATTAAAGAAATGAGTATCGGGCTGAAGGAAGTCGAACATGAAAGTGAAAGTGAGCCGGAAGTTAACGAAGAGGACGTGTGTAAAAGTGGTGTCTACATTAGAAAAACTCGCTCTCAACGAAACAAAGAAAAAGCCGAGAAATTAAAGGTCAGTCAAATTTAATCTATTTTATCGAAGGAAGGTCAGCATTGACTCCCAAATGGCAGGTTTAAAGTATCTAATAGAATTAAAATAACAAAGCAATACGTTTACTCGGGAGATCTTGTTCTAAAGTTTAGAATTAGAACTAAAAGTTGTAATAGTAAAAAAATCTATGTCTCAAAGACCTTAGACCAATCAATGCATGATATAATATAAAAAATAATAACAAATAATAAAATAATAATTTACCCAGACGGAAGAAGCAGCGGCAGCTAAGGAAACCAAGCAGTATCTTCACCAAATCAACAGAATCAAAGCACTCAAAAAGGAGATAAGAAAAGAGGAGAACGAGAGGGAGGAGCAGACGTTGGAGAGACAAGCTAAGAAAACCATAAATGAGACTAGACCTGGGAAATACGGACCCGGCAAGTTTATAGTAAGTGTTTTTTTCCCTGGTTAATTTGATCTTTCCAGACTACTTTAGGGTTTTTCACATAATATTACGTTATCTTCAAATTACACTGGCATAACCATTTAGAAATCCCATCCCTCATTGATAACCTTATATATGTGAACAATCCCTAATTATAAGAGGCTCACTTTTTAGAAACTGGTTAATATGACGATAATTTCAGCCTGGTAATGGGGATTAGTTAATATTCCTCCCAAGATTGAATCATTATACCAAGGAACCCCTTGATTCACTTAAAGACCCTTCAAATCCCACTTAGCAACTCTTCTTCGTTTAATCCTTAACTTCCACCCCGACCCTCTCATGATTCATCTTTTGTACCATAGCTGACCACCTCAGGCTTATCATCTATGAATACGATAAATATCAACGGCCCCAATATAGCAATATAAACCCTTGAGGAACTCCAAATCTAACATGATCTGTGTTAAGGGGTCGTTCACATATTACGTAATCAGCTGAGGGAGGTTTCCAAATGATTACGCTAGTGTAATTTTGACACAATAGCTATGTTTAAAGCTGATTGCGAATGGGGGGGGGGGGGGGGTAAAAATGTTCCAAAAAATGATTACGTAATATCGTCACCTACAAATAGAAAGGGCTTATTTCGAAAAAAGTCGTTTTGAGATAATGCATGAAAACCTATTTTAAAATTTATTAAATTAACTTTAGGATAGGCATTAGACATTTGATTTCTTTGTATCCTAAATGGAAAGAATGACTGGCCTACACTCTGAAAATGTCCCTGAAGCTTTTCAATTAATTGGGGTAATTGTTTTAATTTTGATATAGGCCTATTTAAAACATCATTCGATACATAAGCCCCTCTTAATTAATTGAAACATCTTACATGTGAGAATCGGTACAGGGCGTATGTGTACATAGGTCCTTTTAACTTTCAAATTTATTTCTTTGAACATCACATTCCAACAATTTGTTAGGGCATATGTTGAGTTTAGGCCTTTTCTACTTTTCAAAAACATCACATTCTAACAATTTGTTAGGGCATATGTTGACTTAGGCCCTTTCTTCTTTTCAAAAACATCATCAAAAACATCACATTCCAACAATTTGTTAGGGCATATGTCGACATGGGCCCTTTTATTTTATCAATATCAGTAGCAGGTCAGTTTATTGAAAAAGGACTATGTTAATATAGGCCCATTTAAAAAATTGAAGATATTCAATTTTCACCCAATTGACTTTATATTTGGGGATATGGTAGGTATGGTTCCACAGATTTTCGTGCTGGTATAGTTTTTTAAAAGGGCCTATGTCGACATAGGCCCTTTCTATTTGTAGGTGACGATATGTGAACGACCCTTAACGTTCCACTGAGGAACTCCAAATCTAACATGATCTGTTTACTAATTGTTTTACTAATTGTTTCATTAATTGTTTACTAATTGTTTTACTAATTGTTTACTAATTGTTCCACTCTCCCAGGGCGCGGAGCCAGAGTTCCTGCTACCTGAGGAAGTTAGTTCTTCTCTTCGACAACTAGTTACTCCTGCAAACAACGTTCAGGACAGGTAGACAGACTGCACTTTTTAAGTTAATTAATTGTTAGTTATTTTTTATTGATTGTTAATTAATTTTTAAGTAATCGCTAAGTAGCTGTTAATTAATTATTAATTGTTCTAAATCTAATGTCTCATTTAATTCTATATCATATTTGTATTTTATAAATGATTCAGGTTCCCATAAAGTTCTCTGCACTTATGACTTAACGTTTGCCTGCCCCATCCCCCCCCCCCCCCCCGGCCCCCCTCCCCCCCCCCCCCCCCCCCCCCTCCCCTCCCCTTAACTATCCACCCTCTAAAACACTCATCCTCAGATTTACTAGTTTCCAGAAGAGAAACATGCTGGAGATCAGAAAGAAAGTAGCGCCACACCGTAAGTACAAGCTGAAAAAGGTGGAGAAATGGAGGAAGAAACTGCCCGAAGAAATGGACGAGTTGGTTAAAATGAAAAGGAAGAAGAGGAAGATTAACATGACGGAATAGAAGAGGAAGATTAACATGACGGAATAGAACCTTTCATTTTTACAGCAAGGATGACTAACCAAATATCCGTTATTTTTATGTGGTGTTGAGCTTTTTTAAAGGGTTATTTTGACCTTTCTTTTAATTTAATTTATTCAGTTTTAGGTCTGATGTATACTGGTTTGAATATTTTGAAGATCCGGTATATTTGAGTATTTTTTAGTTAAATTAAGAATCGGTGTACCAAAGGTTGGTTTAATTTGAAGGTTGCTTATATCGTACACAATAAAAACTAAACAGTATCGTATACAGTGAATATAGTAATTATACATACAATGAAACTAGATATAATATCGTTTACAGTAAATATAATATCGTTTAAAGTTAACATTATGGTAAATAATATACACCATATAGTAATTATTACAATAAGTCTTACAGCAGAATAACAAATAACGCTTTCAACAGAATACTGCGTATTATACTTGAAATGAAATGAGGTATTTATATCGCGCTCACGGCTCATATGATTAACCAACAACACAAGGAAGGTGGTTAACCATGTCAGAGCGGCTGACTGTGAGTGATGTTAGCGAATGTGTAAAAATGATCAAAAGTATAACTCATCATAAGGCAAAGACAAAATTAGAAAATATTTATTGTAAACAACATTAAACTAAAAAGAAGCAGAAACCACACAATATAATATGTAGGCATAATAAAGGTAAGTACAGATATAATAATAATGTAAATTTCATGCTAAATGATCACTGGTTGTACCAAATCGATCTCCTTTCAAATTTTACGACTTTATAGTTCTAGATACTTTAGTTAAAAAGAAAGACGTAGGATTTGATGTATCAGATTAATTCTATTGAGGTTATTATGGTTAAAATGGTCAGGGCACCATAGGCATATACCCTGGTGTCATGTTTATGTAGTATGAATAAAATAAGTAGTGATAATAACGATTCGTACTTCGTAACAGATTATTACATAATGAAATTATCGACAGCTTAGCATCACGTTCATGCATTCATGATATTACTTCACGATAGTTACTTCTAATTTTATTTAAATTAATTTACTTATTTAAGTAACGGCCAGGTAGCGCAGTTGGTTAGAACGCCTGTCTTACAATCGTTAGGTTGCGAGTTCGAAACCCACTGACTGCCTGGTCGTGGGGTGAGCGTCGTCGACGTTCAGCTAAGGATCATGAGTGGTCTATGCAGCCCCCCGGTCTACTCAGCCGAATACTCGAGAAATCGGGTGTGAGGGTTAAATGAGGAGCTGCACATTGCAGCAAAGTCTCGGACGAATGAAAGTATGGTACACACTACCTTAACCGTCACTGGCCAAAAAGATCCTTCGGCTTCCTGTAATTGGCTGGTTGCACTTGTGTAACATTGTGGCTGTTGGAATACACCGAAGTAAAATAAGTGTCTAGATAAAAAAAAAAGAAAAAAAAGTTAAATTTGATAAGTTTAAACATAAATAACTGTTTTCTGTGCCACATTTAAGTGCAGTAAAATTTAAAATTGTGCGATCCCGCAGTCCGCACTTTCTGATTTTTATTTCAAATGTGCAAATGAAAATGCAGAAATTATTCGGCAAATTGTGTACTGACTCGGGACTCAACAATTCTGCCGGAACAAATGTGCAGTGCGTCCTCTACTTCTCCTCATATACCGTGTCCTTTATAATCTCCATCTACACCACCGTCTATTCCACCATCTCGATCATGTGTTTGAACTCCTCAAATGTTATCTTATCATCCCCATCTTTATCTGCATCCCTGTGGAATGCGGATAAATCAGTATTTGGACAGCATGTTATTTTGTCGTTAATACCTGATTCTCGTTAAAATTTTTAAATACTTTAAAGGTCATGGGAGATATTAGCAATAAAGTTCACTGTATTAAAGGTGCGCATCACACTGTAAAAGTGCGTGTCTGCACGTGCACTGTGCGTTTTGGCACGTGTGCAACTTACTGGTACATTGTGGTAAGGTCACTTTCAGTCGGACTTTCTCCCAGTTGATTCAGAACTTCTCGTAGCTCGTCTCTAGTTATCGTACCATCTCCGTTTCTGGGCACGTGCATTAGTGAAATGGTCACGTGCATTAGCAAATGTTAACACTTACAGTACAGAGTACTTAATAATAAAACTATCGATAATGAATTATGGATTTTCTAACAGTTATAGTCACTACTAAAGGTGAAGATATATAGGTGTTAATTTTTACTAGGTGTTACCAACAGTGTTACCGACAGTGTTACCAAGGGTGTTACCAACAGTGTTACCAACAGTGTTACCAACAGTGTTACCAACAGTTTTACCAACAGTGTTACCAACAGTTTTACCAACAGTTTTACCAACAGTGTTACCAACAGTGTTGGTACACAGTGTTGGTTACCCAGTGTTACCAACAGTGTTGGTACCCAGTGTTGCTTACTTGTCGAACATTGAAAACGCCTTTCTCATGTCAACATCCTCTTCTGCTGTGCGGCTTCAGCTCTTACCTGATATGGACAACATATTTAATTAATTATACTTCATTTATATTATAATAAAAACAGTAAGAAAATAAGGTTATGCTATTCTGAAGTGATTAAAAGCTGTAAGTATGGATATTTCTGGTGGTCAAGAAAAATCACTCGTGCAAGGCGCCGACTATCATGAGCTCAGGATCAAACAAAATATGAGGACTATAATTATTCTATGTAATTATAATTGTATCGTACCATGGAAATGAACTCGTCAAGGTTCATTTTACCGTCCGAGTCAATGTCTGAGGTATTAATGAGTTGTTCCACCTCCTGACTGGTGACCTGGTGACCCAACTTACGCAAACAGTTCCCTGTAAGTGAAAGTGAAAGTGAAAGTGAATCAATATTTGTCAATAATACTGACAGAAATAAAAAGTGAAATCAACTTTCAAGGTGTGGTACAATTAACTACAATTGAAAGTTTTAAAAGTTGATGTGTTATAAAGTTATAAAAAGGATCATGATTATTGATTAATCACTCAACTATCACATGACTTATATTACGTAAACACATTATTTAGAAATATCAAATGTTGGAGTATGTTATTATTATCATGACCGGATATTATCCAACTATCAACATTCTTTGGAGTTAGACTGCCCTAAAACAATTTACCTTACATTATTTAATTAATTAGTAATTGTCTGATTAACTCACCTAATTCCTGGACTGAGATGAACCCATTATTATCAGTATCGAAAGACTGAAATACTTTTGTCAAGTTTTTCCTTGACAATCCCGACATCCTTCTGGTCTCTGTAATTGTAGTAAAGTATTAGCGTTAAAATTTTCGGGCACATCCACCAATTTCCACTATAATCAAGTTAATAATTTTAACGTAAAAACAAAATTGTTGTAAGTACTACAAAAATAATGCAAAAAAGAAATCTATAAAAGAACTATACAATCGCTGCAGTCAATGTATAACTATATGGGTTTGTGCTGTACCTCTGTTCGTACTGATCAAATAAAACGTATTATTATAGTAATTATAAACAATAATGAATTAAATACGATTAATCACTAGTAGGTAATCATGTATGTTAAAATGTAAATCAATAAAGGTTATTCAAGACTCAAGAGTTTGGTTAAGGCGAGTAAGTCTAAAAATATGTATATTAAGAAATATTGGTTTCTTTTCGGAACAATAAAATTTATAAGCATCATAACTTAAAGCTACATGTTTATAACATGACTCATCTATCAAACGAGTATGTGACCAAAAAGCTGACCAACAAGTACAACTTTGATTGACGATGTCAACGATCGACGATGCTAAGCAAGAATGCTAGTTCGCGCGGCGCGTCGAAGCGGCGAAGTCCTCCAAGTATATAGTACAACTATACCCCTCAGATGGACAACACAATTCATCTACCGAAGCTAGACATTGCCAGCTTAAACAGGGGTGGTCGCATCAGCCTATGCCACTCCCTGATAAACGATGAAGAAGCAATTAAGAGGATCAGATCCTATATCTTTATCAGATTGAGATCTAATTGATCAATTATTAGTAAGAACCACGTTGTTGACCTCAAGGTCAACAACGTGGTTCTTACTATTTCCGCGACTCTATTATCTAGAGTCAGACTAGAAGTCCGTCACAAGCAGGGGAACAAGCTCGCAACCCATAAATATTACTAGGTCTGATCTAAGTCAGATAAACCTTTTCATGCATTCACATGTCCCGCATCGACATTATAAGTTCTTCTTCAGAGTTTATCCCGTAGTATAGAGATTAGAGAAATAGCTACCATGTCTCGGATATCCTCGTTTTGCTCTACCATGCGGCATGCACAGGTTCCCACTTCCCATAAGACTAGATCACTAGCAACAATTACCAATACCAGTAATCGAAACTTCAGTAGACTGCTATCTGTGTTGCAATTATTAGGTATTTACTCAACTTGTTTTCAATTCGATCCCAACCAACAGAATATGACATACTTTTGCAATTAAACCTATTATAGTTCTGCATCTACTTGTAGTTAGGGAAGGAATACGAACATTGCATATTCTCAACCCACAATTATACCAACAATTGAAACTATTAGTATTACCGCGCTCCTGGACCCAGGCAGACTTCAGCCACAATCGTTTTATGAATGTAGTACCGAGCTATTAGGGAGGGAGGGAGGGAGGGAGGGAGGGAGGGAGGGAGGGAGGGAGGGAGGGAGGGAGGGAGGGAGGGAGGGAGGGAGGGAGGGAGGGAGGGAGGGAGGGAGGGAGGGAGGGAGGGAGGGAGGGAGGGAGGGAGGGAGGGAGGAAGCTGGAGGGAGCTGGAGGGAGGGAGGAAGGGGGAGGGGGAGGGAGGGAGGGAGGAGGGAGGAGAGAGAGAGAGAGAGAGAGAGAGAGAGAGAGAGAGAGAGAGAGAGAGAGAGAGAGAGAGAGAGAGAGAGAGAGAGAGAGAGAGAGAGAGAGAGAGAGAGAGAGAGAGAGAGAGAGAGAGAGAGAGAGAGAGAGAGAGAGAGAGAGAGAGAGAGAGAGAGAGAGAGAGAGAGAGAGAGAGAGAGAGAGAGAGAGAGAGAGAGAGAGAGAGAGAGAGAGAGAGAGAGAGAGAGAGAGAGAGAGAGAGAGAGAGAGAGAGAGAGAGAGAGAGAGAGAGAGAGAGAGAGAGAGAGAGAGAGAGAGAGAGAGAGAATGCTTTTAATTCAAGTTAGATCTGGATACTATTACTAAAGTGGGGAAAATATTCTTGTCCACCAATATGACAAATTGTACGTGCAACTGCAAGAAATGGGGGGTTAAAAATGGGTAAATATAATATGTGGTTAAAGAGCGTTCACATATGACGTCATCAAGATTTTGGCCAATTTTACCTCCCCCCCCCCCCCCCCCCCCCCCCCCCAATGACGTCAGAATTTGCCAGAAATAAGCTGTTTTAACATTAAGTTTGTATATTAGGGCTTGATAAACAGGAAAACTCATCCCTCACAAAAAAGACAAAATTGTAAAGCATCTGCATCGAAAATGATAGCATTATTATTTGGTTTGTTGTTATCCCGGCCCAATGAACATCAAACTGCACCTATTATCAGTTACATAACAATAAATAGGATTTAGCCTGGAAATTCGCTTGAAATGCTCATGATCACAATGGCACATCCGGGATGAAATCTTCACAAAGCACTGTTACAGTGCATGCATTCTATTTCTGAGAAACTCGTGGCCATTCTTAGAAGTCCAGAACCAATCAGAGCCAACTGTTTGTGTCACGTGATTAACATACTTAATCACGTGATCTGGATTATTCCTGTTGATCATCTGATTAGACATCCTGTATGATTTGTGTGAGTGTGTGTGCCGGTCGGTAGAAAAACTGCCTAGAAAACTACTGGTCGGTAGAAAACTACTGACCGATAGAAGACTGCTGGTCGGTAGAGAACATCTGGCCGGTAGAAAAACTGCCTAGAAAACTACTGGTCGGTAGAAAAACTGCCTAGAAAACTACTGGTCGGTAGAAAAACTGCCTAGAAAACTACTGGTCGGTAGAAAAACTGCCTAGAAAACTACTGGTCGGTAGAAAACTACTGACCGATAGAAGACTACTGGTCGGTAGAAAAACTGCCTAGAAAACTACTGGTCGGTAGAAAACTACTGACCGATAGAAGACTGCTGGTCGGTAAAAAACTACTGACCGATAGAAGACTGCTGGTCGGTAGAAAACTACTGGCCGGTACTAGAAAACTACTGGCCGGTACTAGAAAACTACTGGCCGGTACTAGAAAACTACTGGCCGGTAGAAAACCATTGATCGGTAGAAAACTACTGGTTGGTAGAAAACTACTGGCTGCTAGAAAACTACTGGTCGAATAAGTTTGGTCGAAAGCACAATGGAAAGTTTGGCAGAGATATACTGGTGAAGCTTCTTGGAAAGTTAAATAGAAAATAGGAATTTCTGGGTTGGTTTTAAATCCCCTTTAGAAATATTTATGATTTAGGTACTGTAAAAGATTACATTAGCTGTAACGATTATTTAAAAAAATGTATAATATAGAACTGGTAAAATGTTCATAATCGCTATATTTGTAATCATAAAGACGCCGAAACGATATAATTTGTGGAAAAAACACCAATATAGTCTCGACCAAACTTTCTACAATTACCATCCGTTAAACTAGAACATAGCAGAGTAAACCTGTTAAGGTGATTATTGAATTTGATCGATGGTAAGCCTATTATAGTGTTGTTCCGCGGACAAAGCATCCAAACATGAAATCCAAAGTTTATTTATAAGTTTCAATATTGCTGCCTTGCAATATTGAAGTATTTTAACATTTGGGGAAAATTTGGGATTAATTTTACTTCGGAATATGTATTTTAGCATGACGTGTCATTCTTTTTGTTAGTTCAGTCCGTTTTCAATTTTTAATCTGAATTTTAATTTTCAGTACGTTTTACCTAACAATATCATTTTTTGCTAGCAGAATGGTTTTCAGAGGGCATTAATGAAATGTACTATGAGCTGGTCCCAAGTCCAGACGCCATTTTATTCTTTGTAATTTTCAATAACCCTGTATTTGTCCCTTTTTTACGTCTAGTCATTGACTACTGATTATACATTTAAACGGTATAAATCTGTTTTAAACAACGAATATATTTCTAGAGTCGAATAATAACTGATTAAATACGTTTCTTTTCTGGATTAGATGAGCATTGAGAAGTAATGTATATTATAGGAATAAAATGAAAAGTAGATTTGTTTTATTAGGGGTCGTTCACATATATTATACGTAATCAGCCGAGGGGCCGGGGGGTTTCCAAATGATCACGCTACTGTAATTGTGACACGATATAGCTATGTGTAAAAGTTAAAACTGATTACAGAGGGGGGGGGGGGGGTAAAAATGGTCCAAAAAGTGATTACGTTAAATGTGAACAATCCCTTATTGCAGGAGTTTAAAACTATTTTCAATTTCGTTATAGATTTGCTTTTGTTAAGTAACAAAGACAAACGGGGGTTTGAAAATGCTGCCGGTTGCTGACGTCAGCAACATTTTTTGTTTCAAATCATTTTTATTAAGCAAGGGGTCGTTCACATATTACGTAATCAGCTGAGGGGAGGGGGGATGTGATTGCGTATAAGTATGTGAACGATCCTTACTCTTAGCAGCACATACTCCAGGGAGACACCTCCATCTGTACCTCAACAAATATATTTAATTGTAGTTGTGAAAATAGTATAAATCTTTAAAACACAACTAAACATTGTGACCATTGCAGTGGGTATCAGTTTAAAGTAATACTAAAAGCACACACAGTCCCAGGGCCAACTATCACAACTATCAGATGCTAATATATAGCTGCATGTGTCGTATATAATAGTCCGATATCAAACCGCATCAGCTGGGGACATCGCCGTGTCATGTGATTTGCCGTGTCACACTGATCCCACCAGGCAATCAATTAACCAGCTTGATCAGTGATTATATCTTCCCTGCAGCTCAACTTATATACCATATATGAGGCGTACAATTTTGACAAATTGTGACGGTATTTATCAATCTATTCAGTGTACTAAAAGTTCAAAGTGCATGTAGGCCGACTATGATTACTTTTACTGGACATGCTGGTCTCTAAGGGGCCATCTACTTAGGACGTCCGGCAAATAGGGAGGGGGCGGGATTGGGGATTTTGAATTTCGGACAAATCCAGACAGGAGGAGGGGGGTGGTTTTTGAAAATCCGGACGTCTGGAAATTTTGGCAGAATTAATGAAAAAGTCCCATTTATTTCAACTCTTTGACACTAATTACTTTG